AGGTCGTGGTATGGGCTCTTACACCAGGTGACCAGGAAAGGCCTATTCTCTTATTCCAGAGACCTGAAGACAAAGACAGGCCTCCAGACAGCTGTCCATGGGGCCTGAGCAGACCCAGCTCAATCTGCCTTCAGCTCCGAGTAGACCGGTCAGGGAACTCGAACCAGATGTGAGGCCATTTCCCAGGAAACATACAGACCCGGAGGTGACAGTGGAAGCGGTAAGAACTGACTCTGATGTTTGAAGTTGGAGCCCAAAGGTCTCGCTGACAGGTGACACAGAGAGCCTTTGAGACAGGCTGAGTCACAGAGGCCACAGGAATCCTGGCTCCACAACCAGAGGATGGTCTGGTTGCCACCACAGGGGTAAAGCTGGGAGGAACCCAGGACTCGTGTCTGATACTCTGTGCCAACCGTCCCAGGCTGGTCCTGAAGAGGCAGCTGGAGTCAAGGGTGGGCTGGGGGTATGCGGCCGGAGCTACCGGCCCAGGCTGGTATGGGGCCTGGGTCCCTGAAGCCGGCAGGAAAGGAAGACAGGCAGGAAGGCGGGACAGCACAGGGGCTGCAGGCATGGCGGTGGCGAAGGAAGCAGGGGAAGGCGACCCCGGGCCTTAGGCAGGGGAAGCCGGATGAACAGTGAGGGCCAGACCAGCCCGCCAGCTTTGGCAGGAGGCTCCAGGGAGGACAAGAGAGGGACCGGGCTGGAGGGATGGAGAGCAAACGCTCCAAGGTGTGGAGCAGGAAGTACCAGCGCCTGCTGGGTCAGGCAGATGGGGGCGGGTTCCCTGCAGGAGCCACCACAGGGGCAATGAAGCACAGGGCGGAGCCTGTCCTCAGAGTGGGCCCAACCCGGCAGTTCTGAGGATGTGGGAGCCACGTGCTGGAGTTACCGCCCGTGATTCAAACAGAGGAAAGCTGCTAATCGCCCAGGACACAGCCACCTGCAGCTGTCAACTCAAACTGTTTCCAAAAGATGTCTTCCATTCACTCAGAGGACGTTCACTGAGCTCCTTTTCCAAGAGCACCACAGGAGAGAGGCCAGGCAGGGTAGGAAGATGGGGTGCCAGGAGGCGAGTGCCTGAGAAAACCACAGCCATCACAGGAGGCAGAAAGCGGGGAGCTGTCCAGCCAGGACGAAAGGGGGTTTGGGGGAGAACAAACACAGGTGTGTGCGTGACTGGGCTGCTCTGCGTTCACCTGAGACTGTCACAGCATTGTTGACTGGCTACATCCAATATAAAATACACTAAAAAGAGAGGAGGCATTGGGGCTGTGGCGGGTGAAGCAGCAAGGGTGCATCTGCCTGCAGGGGAGGCGCTCAGGACGCTCCAGGAAGACAGTGTGGGCCTGGGCGGGTGAATGGGGCCAGGTGAGAAGGCCAGGCTGGACATCAAGGCAAGAGAACAAGGGGCACGTCAAGGGGAAGGGAGTCAGAGGTGAGCGCACGGAGCCGAGAGCCGCAGGGCCCAGGCTGAGGGCCCCCACCTCCGGGGTCTTCCCTCTCTGATTTGCCCCCACAGCCAGACAGGTCTCAGAAAAGCCCAGCGGCCTCGGCTTCCTTTCACGTCGGGCCAGTTGTGGTGGCAACACCCCTCTCGGGCTGGGAGAGCCATGTGGAAAACAGCCGACAAAGGGCCAGGCAAGGCGGGTCCCCAGGAGAGAAATCACGGCAAAGGACATTCAGGAACCAACACGGGAGAAGGAGCGAGACCTTTAAGAAGATGAATCCAAGACAAAGGCACAAAACCACCCCCGCTTTTCATCAAATATGAAAAAGTCATGTGTCATGAGTTAAAAATCCACCGACACAAAGCATGCTGCAGAAAACAAACAGATCTGCAAACCAAAACAAGGAAAATCAGTTTTTCTATTTCAGGCAAGCTTTTCTATAATTATTACTATTATTCATTTTGTATGCTGCTACGTTCCTGCATTTTTAATTATTTGAGTTATTTTTATCACCGAATCTCCTGGGCTCTCCAGGTATGTCACTGTGCCATCTGCAAAGCCAGAGAGCATTGCTTCTTTTCTGCCAGTTCTTGTGACTTTGCTTTCTTTCCTGTTTTACTGTGGTGCCTAAAATCTCTGAAACAATGTTAACCTGCCTGACTCCTGACCTCAGGGGAAGATCCTCCAGGCTCCCCTCTGAATAAGATCTCGCATTAAGGCTTTTATCATGTTGGGGGAGTAAAATCAATTCCTACCCTGACTGTTTTTATCAAGGATGGGGTTTTGGATGAGTTTATAAAAAGGTCTTGAGTGTTGCAAGAACCTAAACACCCCACAGACAGCTGCCGGGTCACCCCTTTCAGCCAACCATGGGGGAGGGGAGAGCAGAGGGAGAATGGCCTCTCCTGGGCCAAGATCCCAGGACTTCCAAGTGGAGGACTCAGAAGGCAGAAGCCCAAAGCTTGGCCAGCGCTGCCGCAGAGGCCCTAAAAGTCAGCACCCGGAGAAGCAAGTGCTTCTTTCAGGCTGCTTTTCCTCGCAGCAAATAAGTGTCCTCCGTACCCAGCATTTCACTCCCCACATCTTTTCTATTCCCTTGACTGGTTATCAGAGGCCCCACCCCTGCAGGTGATCTCCAGCCCTCCCCACTACATCTCATACCAGCTCGGCGCTGCCCAGGTCTGTACTGTGTGTGTTTTCTAGGTGGCGGGGTAGGAGCCAGTCCTCAAGCGAAGATTACCCAATGTGTGCAAACCAAAGAAAACAGGGCAAGAGACGAGTTTCTCTAAGACACGTGTGCAGCACGGAATTACTGAAAAAAAGTGAAATTAGCATCCATCTCACTTTGCTGTTTTCTTCTGTGATTGGCATCCACTGAATTACATATAGTTTATGAAAGACTTTCATTCAAATGACTCAAACAGCATTCTTGGTGACGGCATTCCCTCTATAGGAAAATACAGTAAGATCACTGTGCTCAGTGTTTTCTGCACGTTCACTCCCGGTGAGTTATAAGGCATCAGAAGAGAAGACTAGCTTTGGTAAAATTCGGAGGCACGATTTTTAAATCACGAACACAAAATCCCTACTAAAATAGGCACTAAATATTATAAAGCCATTGTAAACACTTCTTTAACGTGTATTTAAAAAAATGACTTTTAAATGCAGCCACACAGGTTATATAAATGAGAATAAAATGCCTTATATGTCTAAATGATTCCAAAAATTCCCTTGCTGCCTGCGTATCATGGATGCCTCAAGCATGTGAAGAAAGATCAGACTGAAGAGTATAAACTTACTGCCAAAATCTGGATGAAATAAGCAAAAATTCCAGCACAGAGTTTCCCAAACTTCAAGTAGAACAGAGCTCTATGAGGCTTCCCTGATGGCTCAGTGGTAAAGAATCTGCCTACAGTGCAGGAGACTAAAGAGACGTGGGTTCGATCCTCAGGTTGGGAAGATCCCCTGGAGAAGGGAATGGCTACCCACTCCAGTATTCCCGCCTGGAGAATCCCACAGACAGAGGAGCCTGGCGGGCTGCAGTCCGTGGGGTTGCACAAGAGTCAGACACAACTGAGCGCCTGAGCACACTATACACTACAAGTCTGAAAGACAGTTCTCAGAAGTTCCAGAAGCCCGGCTGTAGCACTGGTGGTATAATGGTGAGCATAGCTGCCTTCCAGAAGCCTGGCTGTTGGATATAGGGGCTAGTGAAGAACAGAAAGCTGCTGAGGCCACAGCACCTCTCTAAGTAGAAAGACACCCTGATTGTCACAACATTCACAGGCCTAGAATGTACCCTTTGCTATGAACTACAGCTTCCCTTAGGTAGGACTAAGTTCATCAGACCTAAGGACATTGTGGCCAGCGCTTAGTTCAATTATCATGAAATTGGATAAAGAAATACACAAAAAGAGGATTAGTTAAAAAAAAACAACAACTTGAAAAATACATCTCAAATCAGGGCCCATTCCCGATTGTGACAGGCCCAGAGCTTATCACCCCAAACTTTCCAACCCAAGCCTGACCTGTATCTCTTGTTTCCAGAACAAGCTTCTGCAAAGCATCTCTCTGACTTTGTGTGAAACCCCAGAGCCTACACAAAGAGTAAGACTGAGCCCTGCTCTGGAGGCATCCCCTGGTAGAATTATCAGTGTAATCCTGCATGGAGTAGCACTATTGGAATGGGGTTTTGAAGGATGAATAGGAGTTTTCACAGTGGAGAAGAAAGAAGAACTTGGCATTTCAGGCAATTGGAAATGAGTGCAAATGAATACCATGTGCAAGTGCCCATCACACCCAGGGGATGAGGAATTACTGGTATGCCAAGAGGAGTAGTGCCCAGACTCCCACCACCCACACAACTTCTGCTAACTGCCATACTGCTTCCCGACTTTTCCCCTTTTGTTTTTTCTTTATATCATCCTTTTTTTCTTTTTTAAAGTTTACTTTAATGTCATTTGAGATAATTATCTCCATTAAACTATGGATTATGACGTACCATTTATATTTTCCTTAAATCACAAAGAAAATAATCATACACTGTTAAAGTAGAAAGCATCTCTCTGTGAGGCTGGAACTAAGTCCTCTTTTGTGCCTGCTGTGGTCCTCAAGCTGGGAGCTCCAAGGCCTGTGCTGTCTGAGGTGGAGTCTGATTAAAGGAAGAAATACATGCAAACACCAGAGGCAAGACCATGCTGAATTATCCCTTCTCTCTTGGTGGGTCACAATGTCACTCCCTGGTGACCTCACTGTTCCCCCAAAGGCCCTGCCCTGACCCACGGGCAGCCATTAGACGTCTCGTGGCTGTAAGCTCCCAGTGTTGCGTGTGACTCTCTGTTAGGACAGTTACCCATCTGACTTTCATTTACCAGTTTTAAAAACAGGTGCCGACAGTATTTCGGTAATTTATTACGCAACTTCTTAAAAGTTGAAATTCATACTTCATTAAACACAAGAGCCTAAATTGGGTCAGATGCCAACATGGTCTCCTGGGGGGATTAATGAGGAACCAGTGAGTGGGAAGGGACAGCAAGGGTCACTTGTCCTTACCTCCGTGCACGAAGCCATGCAGGGTGCAGTCAGAAGGCCCCACCAGGTGGATCAAGCTGGACTGGCTGTAGCTGACCGTGTTAGGCTCTGGAATCATGAAGAAGAGAGATTAGGTCACAAGACTGAAAGGTTTCCACAGCTTAAGGGCCCCGCAGTGCGACACTGTCCTGACGTTCACATGGTCACTGCCACCACCCTGGGTGGGGTTTCTCTAAGGAACACTGGTCTCAAAACGCTCCAGTCCATGGGGGGAAGGCTTAAGGATTAATTAGCCACTTGGATAGTGGATCGTGACGTCATTTCCTGGGGACACCAGTGTCTCTAGTGAGGCCCTGCCCTGCCCCAAGGGCAGCCACTGCCCACCTCCACCTCTGGGCTATAAGCCCCCAGGATGGGTGTGGCCATCTGTTAGGACATAGTCACCCATCCGACTTTCATGCCCCATTCCATAAACACTTTAGCAATTTATTATACAGACTCTCAAAAGTTGTGACTTCATTAAACACAACAATAGGCAGAGACTCCAGACCAGACAGAGACACCGCAGGTGTGAGACCCCAGACCCCATCCTGGACTCCAGCTGGCCCTTGGTGCTGACCCGGCCCAAGATACGCAGCACCGGAAGGGGTGCTGGCTTTTCCTCCTGCGTCCCCCATGCATCTTCCCAGAGCACCAAGCCACCACCCCCTCACCCATGTGGCACAGCTGCTGCTGCAAATCTCTAAGAGGCAACACTTAAAAAAAAAAGAAAGAAAGCAAGCCCGATCTCCAGAAAGTGACACCATCCCTCAAAACACTGACTCTTCTGACAGGTGTGAGTAATTCAACAAAGGGGCTTCTGGGCAGACCCCCTGCCATGCCTGCTTCCGCCTTCCCAGGCCCTTCTGGGAAGGATGGCTGACGCCCATCTGTTTCCTGCCTGGACAGCTGGTGCCCAGAGAGGGTGGCCCCTTCCTGCCCCAGCAAGACGGAGCTGCCGAGGAAGCCAGCCTGCTGGGCCCCTGAATGGCTGAGACACCCTGCAGGTGAAGAAAGGTCCTTCCTGTGTTTGGACGTAGACAGAAAAGCCTGTGCAGGAAGTAACGGTGTTCAGGACCCAGGCTGGGTCACCCAGCATCGACAGCTGCCTCTGAGACTCTGCCCAGTGCTCCTTCACGTGGGATCCCAGGAGGTGTGGTTGTCTGCGGGGGTCTTGAAGCAGGAAGATCTGCGTTCCTGTGAGCCGGGGTTTTGAGGACTGACTTTCAAACTCAAGATATTTGCTATTTGTTCTCAAGCCTCCCAGCTTAGAGAGACTTAGACTCAAGTTTCAAGCTCGTATGTGAAGTGCCATCTGCTCCGAGAGGGCCCTGCGGGAGGGACTTGGCCATCTTGATGTGCTCTTGGCTGGGAGGGCCCTCGGCTGTGGTGGAGGCCATGAAGGGGCTCCAGCTCAGGAGATGGGGAGGGTGCAGGGCTCTCATTGTTATTTGTGGTCAGCGTCTGTCTCGGGGGGTTCTGGAGACTGGCCTGCTCCCCGGGCTCCCTGTGTGACCCGCAGAGGCAGGAGCCAGCTGCCATGGGAGGTCCTGGCGCCAGCCTCAGGTGGACCCTCCACCTGGGACGTGTCTGAAGCCACAGCCTGTCGCAATGTTGGGAGCCGGTGGAGAACGCCCTGCCAAGAGGCCAGCTCTGAAGACTCCACCCTCCCGCCCACCCACCTGGAGGTGGACCCCTCGGGAGCAGGGGCACAAGGACGCTGTCTAAAACCAGACAACAGACAGCATGCATAGCTCCATGGCTCAGGGAGGGGGCCCCAGGGCCCCCAGCGTCCCCGGGGACTGGTCAGTGCAGATGACCCCCGGGAGGCGATGCTTCCTCTCCCAGATGCCTCCCAGGCTCAGGGTCGTCGAGAACAGTCCAAATCATCAGGGAACCACACTGGGTCTCAAGGAAACATCGCCAGACACACTACACTGGATGAGAAGGCAGGCCCTGAGAAGGCGTCCAGGACGCTGCCCTGCCCAGTTCCTCATTTCATTCCAAGTGGAGAAGGGCACCCAAAACCCTCTTTCTGCTCAGGAGGAGATCATGGCCCCTGCTGGTCAGGTGCACCCATGGCCACACCTACTGCGGCCTGAGGCTTCAGACGCCCGCCCTGGCCTGGGGAGACTGGACAGAGGGGCGCAGCCCGAGGGCCGCAGAGGATACCAGCTAAGTCCCTCTGCCACCACAGCCATCAGAGAAACACTCCAGTGCAGCACTAGCAGCCCACGACACCCCCGATCTTCAAGGACTGTCTCCCTTGGGCCTCTCTCTGCAAAGAACAAAAAGGCACCGAGAGCCACGCAGTTCCCTGTGGCGCTTTCTCCGCTTTGTGTCCTGCTCATAAAAAACATCAAAGTAGCTATTTTACAGCATGAATGGAAATGAAAAGCCTCAAATCTGGCCCACTCTCAGGAACTGCTCTGACCAGTTAAGAGGTCTGCGGGTGGACAATGACAAAAGATTTTTTTTTTTTAATTTCAAACAATGGAAATAGCATAAAAAAACTTTGTCATGTCAACTATCTACTTATTCAAATGACAAGCCATTTGAAATAATTATAACCACCGAGTCAAACAGATGCCCTCCCCCTGTGTTCTGTAGTAATGTTTAAAATATCAATTAAGCCATGTCTACTAATTCAGTGCTCTTGGAACCTGCGTTGATGTGCTTTTAACAAGTGAAAACACCAACCTTCTGACAGGAAAGAAAAATGCACCCACACCCTCAGTGCTCCTTCCCTGGGCCATGAGTTGTAACTCTGGGGGTTCAGAGGCCTTCAGAGGCTGGGACTATGCCGGGGGGTCCGCAGACACCTCCTGTCCCTGGTCATCCTCAGTGGCCCTTCCCCTGTTCTTTACACCCTGTCTCTTAGGGGAACAGAGAGAAATGTGAGATGGGTCCTCAAAGCCCGAGGGCAAGGCGCAGACATACAGGGGTCCTCTGTGATTGTGACCAGTGCTGCCCGAACAAACGGACGTGGGGCTGGACAGGACGGCGGTCACTGTCCTTGAGGGCGGCGTGCACACGTGGGAGCAGGAGGGAGAACTGGGCAGGCCTGTCTCCTCGCCTGCTTCCTGGCTGGACCATACTTCCCAGCCCCCATAGGAGAGTGACCAGAAGTGCCCCGACCCAGGGCCAACTCATCGAGCCCCTGCCAGAGAGCCTCCCTGCTCCTTCCCCTCCCGAGGTGCCAGGAGCTACCTGACACAGAGGCGGAGCTATGAGGCCAAGGTCCCCACCTCCTGGAGGAGAGTCTCCGGATTAGGACTTTACAGGGAATAAACCTCTAGCGTTAGGCACTAGGATTTTAGAATGGAAGCAATTACCACAACCTTGACTAATGCGCCTCATCTTTGAACCTGCAATTTCAGAATGATGTCTGGAAACTGAGTGAGGTCCCCAGGGCAGCCAGAGATAAGCACAGACCCCCCTCCTTCATGCCCATAGCAGGAACCTGAGGTGCAGACAGGCTAAGTCCCCATGGAGCAGAGCTGGGGTGCAAGCCCAGAGGTTCCTTCTCCTGCTCCCTCCTCCTCCCCAGGACAAGTGCTGCTGGGAGCTGGGGTGACAGGGCCTGGCCAGACCCCAGGGAGAAGGCTCTCCCATCCAGGGCCAGCCACCAGCGGGTAGGCACCAAGCACTCTTGTGGGTGGCTCAGAGTGGACTGGCCAGCAGGGGCGGTCAGGTACTGGCTGACCTCAGGGAGGCAGGGTCCAGGCCCAGCCCAAGAACGAGCGGATGGTCTGACTCATCAAGACCCCAGATGTTGGGCTTCCCTGGTGGTCCAGTGGATAAGAATCCACCTGCCAATGCAGGGGACATGGGTTCGACTCCTGGTCTGGGAAGATTCCACATGCCACGGAACAACTAAGCCCAAGAGCCACAACTACTGAGCCTGCGTGTGGCAACTACTGCGCCCAGGCACCCTAGACATGCTCCACTAGAGATGCCATGCAGAGACGCCCGAGCACTGCAAGGAAGAGGAGACCCTGCTCACCTCATCTAGAGAAAGCCCGTGCACAGCAACAAAGACCCAGCACAACCAAAAAATAAACAAACAAAAAGAGACCCCGGCTGTCCTAGCAGTGGGGACACTGGGGACGGTGGGGATCAGACTACGAGGTGAACACTGCTTCAAACCCAAAGGCCAGGGAAGAGGCAGAGCTAATTCCGTCATAAACCTGAGGGCCCCCAGAATGGATGGTGGGTCACAGGACCAGACAGTCCCTACACGGTTAAGGCTGGACAACTAATGGTCATGAACTGAAGAGTTCAAGGTAACTGTATTTTGTCTTGTTAGATGGAGGAAACACAGTAAGAAAAACTGGGCTTCTAAAAAACTCCCAGACTCTCTGAAAAGATACCTGAAAGATGAACTTGGCCCCTCTCAGGGGTTGCTAGGCAACAGCCACAGAGATGAAATCTGATTCTGACTGCAAAAGTAACAGAGAGCTGCAGAACCAGGGGGACTTGCGGGTGGTGGGGTGGCAAGTCCAGGGTCGATCCTGTCTCCCCAAGGCGGGACGGGGGTCCTCCCACAGGGAGGGGCACAAGTGTTAGGAGACCCCAGTGCCAAGTGCACATGGCAATGCTTAAAAAGCCTGCAGAGAATGGATATGCGACATCCTTAAGAAGTGGTTAAAAGCCAGTCCCTATTGCCTAGAAAGATGCATTTTTATTAGGGCCAGAAAAGGTGAAACTAAAGCTTATAAAAATCTATCACAAAAGCTTGAGATTCAGAATGCCATCTTACAGTAATACCACTTGAAAGTAAGAGATCCTAAAAAATACTATGTATTAGATTTACAATCAGAGGACAGCAAACAGAAAATAATCTCATGAGTGAAGGAGTTTAAACTGATTGAAAACCCTGAGTAATTTTAGTTTCCCAGACAGTCAGTCAAAGGAGTAAGCCAGGATTAACCCCATGGCCCTCAAAGCCCGAGACTGCCTTCAGCCCCGGCTTCTGTCCCAGCACTGGCCAGCAATCACCCCAGGAGGGGTGGATTCAGCCCTCAGAGGCCAGCCAGCACCTCTTCCCAGCCCTTCTCTTTGCTGCTTTCGGGCTGACACTGCTGCTCCCCTTCAGTCTCTGACAAGGACACTGGTCACTGGATTTGGGCATCTCAAGACCCTTAACTTGATTCCATCTGCAGAGGCCCCCCCTCCGCGAATCAGGTTGCGGTCACAGGGCCCAGGGATTTGTGATCTTGTGTCCTGGGGGGAGGAAGTTGCCATTCAACCTGCTCCAGGCTCTCTCCCAGGAACTCCCCCAACACCAAGTCTGTGTCTTTCTTTAGACATCGCAACTCCGCCGTGTCCCTCTGTGCCTTTCCTGACCTGCTTGCTCACCCACCCTCCTGAAAGCAGAGACTGGGACTGAGGTCGCTGACCGCCTGTGGCACATGCCCGGGGCCTGATCACACTGAAGTCATCACAAGAGCCTCAGTCTCTCCAGCCCCAGCCCTGGAGCTCACCACGCTCATTGGCGGGAGAGGGGCAGAGCCCAGGGCTCATGGAGCAGCGGCATCGAGTGGAGAGGGGGTGACCCGGGGCCGGTCCTCAGACAGCAGGCAAGGGCCGGATCAGGAGCCACACCACCCACACGCAGGGCCCATGAGGTGCTGCTCTGGGACCCAGCATGGAACACGGACACTCACCCCGGGAGCCCGGCCAACACGGAGAGGAGAGGACACACAGCCCGCACTCCTAGCAGGAAGATGTGGTCAGGTGTGTGCAGAGTAGGGTGACGTGCGACACCAGGCTGAAGCCCCAAGGCCCAGCCCTGAATCTGTTCCATCAGGGACTCGCGGGACAGCCTCCCTTACCTATCGGGACTGTGGACGGAGGTTTTGTTATGGCCGCAGCCCTCCAGGCACTAGGAGGAAGACTGGAGGAAGCAGCCGTGAGGAGCCGGGCCTGGCAGAGTTCTCTGCGCCCCAAGCTGTCCGGGCGCTCAGAGTCCGTCTACTGAACCCACATCTGGGCAGTGGACCGGGAAGGACAGTGTGGGACATGCTGCTGCCATTCTGTGTTTTTTTTGGCTGTGTTGGGTCTTCATTGCTTTCTGTGTCTGCTTTTCCCCAGTTGTGGTATACATGCTTCTCAGGACCGTGGCTCCTCTTGTTGTGGAGCACAGGCTGTAGGTGTGTGGGCTCACTACTTGCCGTGCACAGACTCTAGGGGTTTCAGTAGCTGTGACTCCTGGGCTTTAGAGCACAGGCTCAAGAGTTATGGCTCACAGGCTTTTAGCTGCTCCGCGGTATGTGGGATCTTCCCGGACCAGGGATCGAACCTCTGTCCCCTGCACTGGCAGGTGGATTCCTATTCACTGCGTCACCAAGGACGTCAGCCATTCTGTCTCTTTATAAGCTGGAAATCCCATCAAAAGTGCACTCCAGGTAAACCAGGGGGACAAACTCTTCATGGCCAGGTGTGCATCCCTCTGCCCAGGTAGTGAGGCCCCTCCCATCGGGGGGCCTCCGGTCAGCGATCCATGGCAGCAGATACACCGAGGCCTTCAGGCTTGTCCCCCAGCCCTGTGGTCAGCTGCGCCACGTGGACAGGGCTTGCAAGCTGCAGGGTCAAAGGGACGGTACCCCACAAGACAGCACTTGGGGACGCACTGGCCCCAGCAAGACAACGCTCACGAGCAGGCCTCACCACCTCGGCCCCAGACCGCAGCCTGGCTCCTACCTGGGTTCAGGACGGGCTGGACGATGTCCCCATTGCGCCACTTAGTCTCCATGCGCTCCAGCTTCTGGGCCTCGTAGCGCTTGCGGCCCTCCTCCTCCTGCTCCTGCCGGGAGTACTGTGGGGCGGGGCGGGGTGGGAAAACGGGAGAGGGTCAGGCCTGGCCCCTAGGTCGCCTCCTCCCGTGTGCCCCGCCTTCCTGCAACTGGAACTATGTCTTTCTCTGACAATACACGCTCGATATAAATAACAAAGACACAGAGGAGGGGAAAATACCACGGACACCTCCCTGGGCAGAGACTGGGTCAGACATTTGAGTGACGTCCTCCCTGGAACTGCTTTTCTGCCCGTGTGTATAAAAGGTTCTGTTGTGCTGTACGTGAAGCTCAAAAGTCACAGCCTTCCCTCCTCTCATGTATCATCCTGCCATAATTTATGTGATGGATCCATAATATCTGGAAACTTAGTCTGCTGCCAGTTTTTCACCATTAAAACATCACACTGACGATCTCAGTCATTTTCCATGTTATATTTAGCTGCCCCAGTCCTTCCTAGACACAGAACAAGAGAGTCAGAGAGCCCCAGAAAGGCTGCCCTCAAGACCAGGAGAGGAGAGGGCAGGTCCCCATGTGCCCCCAGACGCTGGGCGGCCTCACTCCGCTGACTCCCAGCCACTCAAGCAGGCTGCTGGTGTATAAGGGACACCCACCAAAGCTCTCCTGATGGATCATGGGTATTCTGATCCAAAAAGGTAAATATAAACATGAAAATAAAACATGGCAAAATGGAGAATGTTGGGTCCTCTGGTGCCCACTGCCCTGGGGCCCAGTGCAGGCAATACCCTCTGTCCCGGGATCCACTGGGGAGGTCTGGGGTCCTCAGGGCCTCCCTGCTGACCCCTGCCTGGCCACTCTCCTGACGGGCTCTGACCTCTGCTCTTCCATCCATTCCACTTGCATCTCCCACTCAGCCCATGGACAGGCAGCTGGGCTTGGGGCCCTGCATGCTCCTCTCTGACCCTGCAATTTCAGATCTTCTTTCAAAATCTGGTTTTCAATATCTTGCTTTTCTTGCAAGTGGCTCAGCTGCAAAATCACTGAAGTCTGAACACATTCAATGGCTTCATTACCATCATCTTGGGCTTCAGAGTCCGTCTCTGAAGGAGGCTTTGAAGGGAGCGGGGTGATATGTCCAAAAGAAACAAAGTATGGTAGGTGTTGAGGGCACCAGGGAACCCCGAGCCTCTCCCTCCGTAAACAGACGATCCCTCACGTCCCACCACAGAGCAAGGCCTCCAAGAGCAGAGACTGTGCTGTGCCTTTCTAGGGAAGCTGAAGGACGACTTACGTGTCCTCAAGGAATGCCTTTGAAGAGATTTTTTTTAAAGAAAGAGCCAACCTCCCCAGTCTAATAAATCCTCGTGTCCAGCAGGGTCATGAGACTTCTGCACTCATGTAGGGGCTGACAGGGGCCCTGGCTCTGACACCAGCCATGAGGACCGAGAAAACGTAGCCTCTTCACAAACAAACGCCTCCTGCTGACTTAAAATCTGGGGACAACATCATGACAGCATGCTCTCGATGGGCTGACACCCAACTCATCCCCAAGGGCTCACCAGGCCCAGCTCACTTGAAGCAGAAGACTGCCCAAACATCCGGGGCAACAGTCTGAGTGAGCCTTTTGACTTAAGCTCACATTGACACATCAATAAAAACCAGAGTCCACTCCCCAGTGCTCCCCCAGCCTCTCGGGGGCCACAGCTGTCTCCAAGACATCAGAGGCCTCTTGATTCATCACAGGGTCACCGAGGTCCCTAGTCCCTGGGGGACGAGGTGGAGCACAGTGAAGAAGTCCTCACTGAGTGACACCACAGGGGACAGCTGGGCTTCCCTAGGAAGAGGCACTCATGTGGTCGACCCACACACACACGTATGTGTGATAGCAGTGTATATGCACGTGTGCAATGTATGCTCTGTGAGATATCTATGTATATGTACATGTGGGATGTATGTATGATCAACGTAACATACCTGCATGTGTGAGACATGTAAGATACACACACAGAGGCAGAATGATGTATGTGCTCAGTAAATAACCACTATCAGTGCGGGGTCGGCCAGAGGAGGCTAGCAGGACCTAGGAAGCTTGATGGTCAAGTTCCCAGCACCTGAGCATCCGTGCTCCTGGGAGTCAGAGCTGGGCTTTTCAGGACTCAGATGGGCTGTGCCCCAGAAAACAACAGACCTATATGTGGAGTCAAGCGAAGGCGTGTACGTGGGCCTAGCACATGTTGGGGGGAAGAAAACGCAAATAAATATTAGCAATGGCTGCAGCTGTAAGCCACACAGCTTCTCCCATCTGGAGCTCTCTCTGCACCCAGTGGAACGCTTCCAACACCCCCTGCAACATGGGCAGAGTTGATATTTATGTCTCATCAAACCCGGCTAAACAAAGGGAATGGGAAAGCGACCAGGGGGCCCCACCAGGATGTGGGAGGGAGAGCGGCAGATGAGAGGGGTGACATGCAGAGGGGAGGGGGACAGGAGCCAGCAGAGCCCGATGCTGCCTGCCCCTCCCCTGCTGGCTAAAAACCCACCAGCTCTCAGCACCCGGGCCCACCGCACTCCCTGCCTTTAGGAGCCAGAAGGAAGCAAAAGCTGATGTGCCTAGCCCAGGAATCCTCCTTCAGCAGCAACCCCTGAAGACATATCACGTGGCTGCTGAAGCCAGAGATAAGGCCTGCTAGAGACTTCTAAAACTGTGTAGCATCTGAAAATTAAATCTAAAAGTTAAATAATTGTGTTTGAGTGTTTATATGAGATGTGGCTAATTTAACATCAAGTGTTTAGTGGGAAAGATGAAAGCGAGGATAAGCACACTTGTATTTTCTAAAAAGATAGTCACTGAGCCTCAGACTCACACCTGCTTCTTGGGTCTTAAAACCCCTCAGTCAGTGCTGCTTGAAAATGACAAAATGGTCAGAAACAGAGAGAGGAGCTCCAGGAAGAATGCGGTGGGCAGGGGGTGGGGGGGTAGATGGTACGGGCAGGGAGGGAGGGAGGGATGGAGAGAGAGAGAGGCAGGCTGGACAGAAGGCCAGTGTTCTGGCTTCAACAGCAGCCTGTCAGAATTCCTGTCCACCTGGGACTTAGCATGTGACCTTTCTGGGAATTAGGGTCTGTGCAGGAATAATTAGTTAAGACATGTGCACTCCTGTGCGCGTGTGCACACACACACACACACACACATACGGAAAGGCAGCCAGGTGACCGCATAGGCAGAGGCTGGAGGGATGCGATCACAGGTCAAGGAATGTTTGGAATGCCTGGAACTAGACTGCATGGGAAGGATCACCCCTGGCTTAGAGCCTCCGGCAGGAGGGCAGCCCAGCCGGCACTGTGATTCTGCACTTCTGGCCTCAGAGCTGGGAGAATGAACTGTGGTTTGAGCCCTCAGGCTGTGTCACAGGGGCTCCTGGGAAACTCAAACAGATGGGACATGAGGGAATCTGGCCCCGAGCACCTGCCCTCTCCTTGTGTGTGGAAGGACGGGCGGCCCGGAGCTGCGGACACCACCACCCTGCCCTCACAGTACCAAACCCAGAACCACCAATCGGATGCAGACCAAGGTCTGAACACCCTTCCCAGTCCATGTGGAGAGGACGCCTGTCACCAGGAATGCTGTTTAAAAGTCTAGACTTAAGGGCAGCTGGAGCCCAGAAGCTGAGTGGCCCTCCCCCGACTCCCCAGGGCCTTGACCGCCTCCACAGGGGCAGGCAGCGTGCTGGTCAGACATGAGCTATGGGCTGGGAGCACCCCCCAGGTGACAGGGAGCAAGCCCCCATTGCCCTAGGCCTGTGGGTGGTGGGGGGACACGACAGAGTGGAAGGGGCCTGTGGTGGGGGAGCAAGGAGGAGGAGACTAGGGAGTGCTCATCCATGAGTGCGATACAGTCCCTAACTGCCTGGGTCCCCACTTTACTGTTTCTTAGAAGTTTCTTCTCTGGACATCTCGGCCACAGAAAAACGCTCCCTGCAGGGGCAGACACAGCCAAGCCAGGCCCAGGCCTCTCTGAGAATAGCTCGTCCTTGCAGGGATGAGAGCAGAGCGCCTGGCCTCCAGGGAGAGCGGGTCACAGATGTCCTCGGAACATCCAGGGATACGGGGACCGCAGGAGGAGGGGTGGGGCGCTGTGAGGGGAGGAGTTAAACCCCTCTATCAGCCTAATCTCCCCCTCAGAATGCCTGCCCCCCGAGCCTGCCTGCAGTGGGGCACCTGGGCATGAACACGACAAAGTCTCTTCATGTACAGACGTGTCTGTCCAGAGAAAAACCCAAACAAGAGAAACCAAGGAAGGAAGTGGACACGGCGGGAGAGAGAGCGGGGCTGAAACAGAGCTGTCTCAGCCTGTCTCCCCAGGACTGTGGTCTCCCCTAGACTGGTCACCTGCACAGTCTTGTTGCCCATCTTGCCTCTGACCAGGGCCCTCCAAGAGGGATCTGGTATCTGCAGGGCCCAGGCCAGCCGCTCTGGCCTTCTCTGCATGAAGGGACGTCCCTCCCCCATGCCTCCCACTCTCATAAGACTTGGCACCCCCTGCCCCCTGTCTGGGAAAAGTGGGTAGGGTCTCCTTACCACAACCGGAGGCACCTCCAGGACCTTGTCCACATTCTTCAGCGACAGGGGCACATACCACAGGGTGGCCTTATTGGTCAGCTTTTTGGTACCTTCAAAGAAGAAAGACATATGAGGAATGGTCTGGGAGCCAGCAGGGCGGCACGCAGGGCCAGCGCCACCTCTGGCCCCCACCCCCAGGCCTCCTTCAGCCTCGAGGTGCAAGTGTGGGCACAGACCAGGGAAGTGTGGACCCCAGCTGGGGAGCCCCTGCCCCAGCATGCTGCCCCACACTGAGGCTGCTGGGAAGACTTCAGATCTGGTCTAAGCTGGGGGGCCTGCCGGCTTTCTAGGACTTTCTAACTCAGAAGGCCCACATCTGGAGGGCGCTGACTCCAGGCAGGCCTCCAAGGAGCCTCCAGAGGGAGGCGGAGGTTAGGGCTGGGGTGGGGGAGGCAGGCAGACTGGCCTCGGCCTCCTCCCAGGGAAAAGCAGGACAAAGCCAGGCCCCATCTCCGCCAAGAAATCCCGGCTGACGGATCTCACGGAGAAGGACCCGCTGAGGAACTGGACATCACGACACCCAGAACAGGATCGTCTTCTGAGGGACCCACCCACTGGCCTAAAGGTCCCCAAGAAGAGCTCTGGGTGGGCAGGAGGCAGCTCGTGGATGTGAGGCTAAGGGTTGTGGAGGCGGGGCCGTGGGACACAGCCAGAGTGCAGCCTGCCCCCCGCCAGGCCCCCCTCCCGGTGGGGGGGGACCACACCAGGCACAGTTGGCGGGACTCAGCCTCACTCCAAATGCTCCCAAGTGGGGGCTGAGAGCGCACTGTGGGCTGCTGGCTTCGGCTCTGGGGTGAACAGCAAGAACAGAACCCTCTCTGGGCACCGAGCCTGGCCTCAGGGCAGAGTGGGGTGCCCAGGGCGGAGGCCTGTCCGGGCTGAACATCATGGGCTAAGAGAGCCCAGGGATCCCTGGGTCCACACCCCTCACTTGTGCAGGAGGAGACTGAAGCCCAGAGAAGTCAAGGGGCTTGCCTAGGTTCATAAGAAGCTCAAAGCCTCCCAGACCCCATAATTTCAGGGAAGTATTAATGTTTGCGAGGATGCCCGTTAAAAGTTGCCTCTTTGACATGGAAGATTCCATGCAGCAGAGAACAGAACTTCAGGACAGAGAGTACATAGAGCAGAGGAAGCAGCCTGGGGGCCTGGCCCTAAATGCCTCCTACAGGTCCTCTGACCTGCCCCCCAAGGCGATCCTGTGGCTTCCCTTTTCTCCCTTAAACTAGATCAAAGGTCCAGGCCGAGCCCCAGCAGGTCGGTAAGAGAGAGGGCAAGGCCCACCAGGATGTTTCCACAGCACCACCAGGACCACAGGCAAACAACACGGAAAAATATCTTCACTGCTCTCTGATGGAGAGTGATTCTGACAACCTGCTCTGGGGAGTAAAGATTTCCTGTCCGACTCAGCTAGAGCCGGCCTGATGGCCTGTTTCCATGGAAACGCCGAGTGGCCCTCCTCCAAACCCAAACGAACACCATGGAGCAAATGAGGCAAAACACTCGAACTGTGCTTTCTCTATCATTCAATAAAACCACCAAAAGACAACGACAGCACTGAAAACATCTATCCTGAAATTCTGAGGCTCCCAGCCATTTTCTGGAGCGCTTCACGGCAATCACATCCCAGTGAGCTTAATATTTTGACAGTTGCCAGAGATGAATGAGCAAAGGTTTGCTGGTTGTCTGCCTGGGCGCATGCTCGCCTGGCTGCCTCTTGAAGGCGGCGCAGCCCCGAGTAAGGGGGACGCACAGAATGGGGACCCTGCCTCCAGGGGTTGTGAAATGCGGAGACGGCACGTGAGCAGCCTCCTGGCTCAGGCTCGTCGCCTGTTTGTCCACCCAGCCTGGTCTCCCCACCTGGACATGTTCAAAGCCTCTCCGGGCAGCCCTGTTCTGAACCAGGCAGCCACACAGCCTGCCCTCACATCCCAGTGGACACGCAGGCAGAGACACATCATGGCAAGAAGACCTTGAGACACGGGGTCCCAGGATAAGAGAGACTCATACAGACCCAAACATAGAAAAATGGAGAGAGGATGCCACAGATACAGACGTGGTGCCAAGACCCAGAGGGGTACCAGATGTGAGATCAAGCGGGGAGAGGGACACCCAGACCTGCAGCAGGGGCTCGTGGGCAAGGTGGGCAAGGTGACCAAGCTGTGGAGAGAAGACGCAGCCCCAGGGCTCCAAGCGTCCACATCCACCCCATGATCCAGCCTCAGGTTCCTCCCTCGGCCTTGGCCCTCCCCCGTGTCCAAAGGCTGGGCAGTGCTGGCCAGTCCCTCCTCTGCTAGGCCTCTGTCCCCCTCACATGCCCACAGCCTGCCCGCTGTCCCGGGAGGCTGTGCTCCTCACAGCCGCTGCTATCCTCGGGGCAGCTTAGACTATGCGCCCGCCCTTCAGAGCCAGGGCAGCTGGGGACTGTGTGTGTGTGTGTGTGTGTGTGTGTGTGTGTGTGTGTGTGTTGTCGGGGGGAGGGTGGAGAGCATCCTGACCACAAAGCAGGGGGTTTCATGTCACTATCACGGGCACTGGGTGAGCACTGCCCACTCCTGCCCACAGAGGGAGGGTCCTGCGAAGAAAGAAGAAAGTGGGCTGGAGCACGTCCTTCTAGACAGTGCCCCCTGCTGGCTTTCTCTCAGCACAGGAGCGACTCATCCACTCCTTCCTTCCTTCCTTCATTCATTCATCAGTGACTGAGTCCCTGTCCATCATGAGCCAACGGAAGCTGCAGGGGCAGGGGACATGCCCACTCCCCTCAGACATCGGCAGTCCAGCACCAGTCCCCTCAGCCTCCTTCTGCAGACACCCAGGGTGGTCGCCAGGCAGTCAGCAGCATCACCCTGACTGTGACAACCAAGTCTGTCCCCTTGAGAACTGCCTCTGATGAGAGGAGCCAAGATCCCAGGATCCCTGCCACATGGCAGACGTGAGCTCCAGTCTGAAAGCCCAAGAGGCCCCCTGTCCCTGCCTCTCGTCCCCACTTAGTCTGATGCCATTCTGTTCACGGGCTTCCTCCCTGGCCGAAGCCTCTGATGTCCAGAAAGGGGGCCTGGATGACGGGAATCTGTAAAGCAGGCCCCTACCCTGTTTTGAGACACCAGAAAATTTCGGTGAACAAAATCAGCACTGCTGAAAACACTATCGACTAAGTGTGAATTTCAAGAGAAGCAGAGAGTGCAGCCAGCTATTTCCTCCCTTGGGTCCTGAGCAGGGAGGCTCCACTCCCATCTCAGGCCAGGAGAGCAGGACTGGGTCACTGTGGTGGGAGTGGGCGTGGGGGAGGCAGATGGTGGGCTGCTAGCCCATGTGGGAAGTCAGGGTCGGAGGACCCCTTTCTGTGCCACTGCCTGAGACCAGCATCCAAGGTCTCTGACGCTGGAGCTGCCCCGAACAGAGCTCAGGCCACAGACCAGGATATGGGGCACAAGCCAGCTGACCGCTCCCCCGCCCCAGGCTCTGCCTCAGCTGCACCATTCACTATGCGGCGGCTGGGCCTGCTGCGGTCATCGAATGTTCTAGATGGGGAACTGAGCGCCTGGCCTGTGTTGGGGAGAAGCCTGGAGCCCCATGAAGATCTCTGAGCACAGCACTCTGCAGGCAGCCATGGCTGAGGACTGGGTGTTGGAGGAAAGGGCAAGGGCCTAGGCAGCTCCCTCCTCTAGAGCCGGCAGGGCCTCTCCTCTGGGCGGGACACTGGGTGGGCTGGGATGAGGAGTGGGGCAGCCAGAGCACCAAGGGGCTGCCTGCCTCATGAGCATCTCAGTTATAAAAAGCAGTGACTAAATGGGAGCCACACTCCCCTGCAGCGCCCAGTGGGGGCAGGAAAAAGGGTTTCCATGGTTACCACTCTGAGGAAGAGACTATTCAGATCAAACCCGAGTCAAAGGTTCACCCAGTGAGCACCAGCCCACAGCCTGGCTTGTGGGGGTCCCCAGGGTGCAGAGCAAGGGCCCAGCCAGCGCACTCCAAGTGCCCTCAGAGGGGGGGAGCGCGGGGGTACATTAGCAGGGCTGGAGGGTCGCTGGTGCCCTCCCAGCCCACTGCCAGCCCTCTGCCAGACCAGCTGGCTGCCAGCCCCTACCCCAGGAAGGCAGAGGGAGGGGGACCACACACCAGGCTCATTGCCTAAACTACGCCCGTGCCCCGGCTTCCCATCTGCAGAGCGAGGAGGCAGACGTCACTGCCCACAGGAGGAGGCGGGAATGCAGGGAGGTCATCACAGACAGTGTCAGGATGAGCCAGGAGCCTCGGCCGCTGCGCCTGCCCAAGGCCACCGTTGCGGCACAAGGACGTTACCTGTGAGGATGTTCTCGGACATCACATGCACCTGCACCTCGACCGAGTGCTTGGAGGTGTAGGTGATCTCTGCGCTGACATGCGCCACCTCGCCAATGCACATGGGCGACAGAAAGTCCGTGCGCTCCACCCGGGCCAGCGCAGCCACGCAGCGCTCCTGCAAAGACCAGAGGCGGGTCAGTCATCCCAAGGCCCCACCCTGGACATCATCCCCTAGAACGACCTTTGGTTTTTTTCCCCATGGGTACAGTAAAGCAAGTCATGGGACTTGCCTGGCAGTCCAGGGGTTAGGACTCCACACTTCCGCCGCAGGGGGCATGGGTTCAATCCCCTGGTCAGGGAACTAAGACCTCCCATGCTGCGTGGCATGACCAAAGAAACAAAAGTTTTTTTAAATAAAGAATAAAGTAGAGCAAGTTACTGTCAGCACACACTCCTAAATGCAAAACCAGGAGATGATGCACTGCCTGGGGGGGCCACAGGGCAAAGCTGTTGATACAGGTGATCCCGGGTGGTGGGGTTCCAAGCAACTTCTCTTTCCCGACTTTTCTAAAAAAGGATACGTATTACTCGCATAATGGAAAGTGAAAAAAGGAATACATACTCATTATGGAAAACTTGGGAAGTACAGAAAAGTAGAAAAGTAGAGCAGGGAAAATTCACCCCTCCCATCGAGAGACAACCACGCCTTCTACTTTGGGATCTTTCTTTCCAGGCCGAGAATACGGGTTTTACTGGTTCACTTGTCTGCCTGGTTCCTTGTTTTGCAGTTTGAGGCATGTGGTTGACACTCATAGTCATGCATAATTGTCACTTATACTCACCTATAGTTGTCATATATAATCTCACCTAGCTGTGTATATGCTAAATATCCACTTTCACAATCTGCTTTTTTCACTCAACAGGAAGAAAAATAACCTCCCCATGTTATGACGAGCTCTTAGCAATCACATCTCTTTTTAAAAAATGTTCTTTATCCTTTAAATATACAACCCATTTTCATGATTCAAAAGGAACAAGAAGGCTTATGTCCCCAGCCACGAGGGGAACCCCTGGGAGCTCACGCTTCATGAAAATGAGGGACTCACTTCCTCCTTCCTTTTCTCAATACTTTCTACAGCTGCCATTTCACAATACTCCACTGGAGGATATCCACGCAAGGGTATTTTTTTTAATGGCCAAACAGAATATTCTTCTGTTGTTAGATTTGGGTCAACCTCAATTGTTTCTTATTATGAATAACCCTGTGAGGAGCTTTCTTTTATTTAAATCATTTTTGGTCCTGGGGATGGTTTACTGGGGAGAAGCAAACAAACACCTCACTAAGTGTTCCCACAGTGCCTCTCAACAGGCAGAGTGCTTGCCTGGCCCCAGCACCTCTCCACACCAGCACTGAAAATCAGGTGTTTTTTGTTTTTTTTTTTTTTGCTTCACCATGCAGCATACAGTTTGTGGGATCTTAGTTCCTCAAGGCGCTTGGCAATGAAAGCAAGGAGTCTTGGGACTTGCCTGGTGGTCTTGCGGCTAAGATTGCAAGCTCCCAACACAGAGGGCCTGAGTTTGATCCCTGGTCAGGCAACTAGATTTCACATGTTGCAACTAAGAGTTCACATACCACAGCTAAAGATCCTGAGCGCCACAACTAAGACCTGGTGCAGTCAAATATATACATATATACACATATACGTATATACAAAAGAAAGCGTGTTGGAAAGTTTTATCCACTGGACGCCAGAGGACTCCTGAAAATCAAGTTTTTTTAGGGTCAGTTTTTACTGAGGTAGCATTGATTTATAGGGCTTTCCACATGGTGAAGTGGTAAAGAATCCACCTGCCAATGCAGGAGAGGCAAGAAACATGGGTTCAATCCCTGGGTCAGGAAGATCCCCTGGAGGACATGGCAGTCAACTCCAGCACTCTTGCCTGGAGAATCCCATGGACAGAGGCACCTGGCAGGCTGCAGTCCACAGGGTCACAAAGAGTCAGACATGACAGCATGCACACACGCAGTGATTTATAACATTGAATGAGTTTCACATGTACCACCTTCTGTTTCTACTTCTGCACACCCTACAGCGAGCTCACCACCAAGAATACAGCTTCCATCCATCACTAAGCAGAGATCCCTTCACCCACCTTGCTCCTGGCCGCCCTCTACTTCGCCCCTTCCTCTCTCTAGTAACCAGTTCTCTGTCCTCTGTATCTACATGCTTGTGTTTGGTTTGTTCATGTACTTTTTGTTTCTTTCTTTTTTATATTCCACCTCTGGGTGAATCACAAGGTATCCGTCTTTCTCCATCTGACTTATTTCACTTAGCTAACATCCTCGTGGTCCATCCATGTTGTTGCAAATGGCAAGAGTCCATCTTTCTTTATGTATAACATTCCACAGTGTACATATATACACACCACAACTTTTTTTTTTTTTTTCGGTTGAGCTGTGCAGCTTGCAGGATCTCAGTTGCCCGACTAGGGACCAAACCTGGGCCCTTGGCAGTGAAATTGCAGAGTCTTAACTACTGGACTACCACAGAATTCCCCACAATTTCTTTACCTATTATCCATCAGTGAACACTTAGGTTGTCTTAGGTCTCAGCTACTGCAAATGCTGCTGCCATGAACAAGGGGATGCAGATACCACTTCTAATTAGTGTTTGCATTTTCTTTGGATAAATATTCAGAAGTGGAATAGCTGGATCATGTGTGTGTGTGTGCGCTAAGTCGCTTCAGTCATGTCTGACTCTTTGCAACCCCACAGACTGTAGTCCACCAAGCTCCTCTGTCCATGGGATTTTCCAGGCAAGGATGTTGGAGTTGCCATTCCCTTCTCCAGAGGATCTTCCCAACCCAGGAATCAAACCCACATCTCTTATCCTGCATTGGCAGACAGGTTCTTTACCACTAGCACCACCTGGGAAGCCCATCAGTTTTAACCTCTATGCTCTTTTCCACAAGGGCAAGACCAGCTTACGTTCCTACCAACAGGATCCCTTTATCTCCACATCTTCACCAAGACTTTCTATCTGTTGTCTTTCTGATGACAGCCACTCCGGCAGGCGTGTTTATGACATCTTGTGTTTCTGATCTGCATTTCCCTGACGACTACTGATGGTGAGCATCTCTTCACACGCCTGCTGGCCATCTGCACGTCTTCACTGGAAAAATGTCTATTCAGTTCCTCTGCCCATTTTTTAAATGGGTTGTTTATTTTTTGCTGTTGAGTTGTAATAGTTCTTCATATATCATGGAATAAGCTTCCTTTTTAATCTATATTAACCAAATGACACTAAAGATAGTCTTATGTTTGATCTTCACTGCCAATCACAGCACCCAGCACTTTTACGGCTTTCTATCAGAATCAAGAAACCAGCCGGCTCTTTGAGGACACTGGGCATGCGAGCACGGGTGCCCCTGGGCTGGGTGGGCAGCTCCTGATTAACTGTGGGTCCCGTGCCAGCTCTGGGCTTCACTTTGGCAGCTGGTCCTCACCACACCCTCCTGCGGGGGCTTGCATGTGATAGTCAGTTCGAGCCCCGGTGTGTCTGCACCCTTCCCACTGGCCACCTGCCACCACCTACGGCAGCAAAGTACAGCTCTCCCACCTGTGTGAGAACTCATCTGATACCTGGCGAACAAGCCAATTCCCCAGCCCGCCCCAAACCCACAGAACAAGCCTCTTGGGAGGGAAGCCAGGGACCTCCATGTCCATCCCTCCCCAGGAGAGCCTCAGACAGGCAGGAGTCTGTTCCTATAAAGGTCCTAGAGTCAGGCCCCAGAGCAGCGATGCAGCAGGGGCTGTGCAGGCAAGCATAGCATGTGGGTTCATCCTCTGATTCAAAGGGGGACCTGTCCCTTCCACCCCCACCCCAACCCCCCTCCCCCCGCCCACAGTCACATCACCCCTGAGGCTGAAACCTGAGGCAATTGCTGGGCTTCCAGCCCTGAGTACATTTGTGGGGCTACAGCACCACTCGCTGGCATGAAGTGGGAAAGGCAAGTGCTAAGAGAGCCAGGCAAGAATGAGGGCACAGCCTCAGGGCCCCTTCTGGAATTCTCCAAGCTCTGCCTGCAAGAGGCTGCTATGAAGACCTACAAAATCTTCTAGAACTAACACCAAAAAAAAGATGTCCTTTTCATTATAGGGGACTGGAATGTAAAAGTAGGAAGTCAAGAGATACCCAGAGTAACAGGCAAGTTTGGCCTTGGAGTACAAAATGAAGCAGGGCAAAGGCTAACAAAGTTTTGCCAAAAGAACGCACTGCTCAGAGCAAACACTCTCTTCCAACAACACAAGAGGCAACTCTACACTTGGACATCAACAGACGGTCAATGCCAAAATCAGACTGATTATACTCTCTGCAGCTGAAGATGGAGACGCTCTATACAGTCAGCAAAAAAAAAGACTGGGAGCTGACTGTGGCTCAGATCATGACCTCCTTATAGCAAAATTTGACTTAACTGAAGAAAGTAGGGAAATCCATTAGACTATTCAGGATTGATCTAAACCAAATCCCTTACAATTATACAGTGGAAGTGACAAATAGATTAAAATGATTAGATCTGATAGAGTACCTGAAGAACTATGGACAGAGGTTCATAAGAGGTCATACAGGAGGTGGCGACCAAAACCATCCCCAAGAAAAAGAACTGCAAAAAGGCAGAATGGTTGTCTGAGGAGGCCTTACAAATAGCTGAGAAAAGAAGAGAAGCAAAAGACAAATTAAAAAGGGAAAGACATATCCATGTGAATGCAGAGTTCCAAAGAATAGCAAGGAGAAATAAGAGAAGCCTTCTTACGTGAACAATGTAAAGAAAGAAAGGACAACAACAGAATGGGAAAGACCAGAGGTCTCCTCAAGAAAATTAGAGATACCAAGGTAACATTTCACGCAAGGATGGGCACAATAAAAGACAGAAATAGTGAGGACCTAACAGAAGCAGAAAAGATTAAGAAAAGGTGGCAGGAATACAAAGAACAGTACAAAAAAGGTCTTACTGACCCAGAAAACCAGGAAGGTATGTCACTCACCTAGAGCCAGATATCTTGGAGTATGGAGTCAAAATGGGCCTTATGAAACGTTACTACAAACAAAGTTAGGGGAGATGATCAAATTCCAGCTGAGCTTTTCAAATCCTAAAAGCTGATGCTGTGAAAGTGCTGCACTCAATATGCCAGCAAATTTGGAAAACTCAGCAGTGGCCACAGAACTGGAGAAGGTCAGTATTCATCCCTATCTCAAAGGACAATGCCTAAAAATATCCAAACTACCGCACAATTGCATTCATTTTATATGCTAGCAAGATAATGCTCAAAATCCTTCAAGCTAGGCTTCAACAGTATGTGAACTGAGAATTCCAGGTGTATAAGCTGGATTTAGAAAAGGCAGAGGAACCAGAGATCAAATTGCCAACATCCATTGGATCACAGAAAAAGCAAGAGAGTTCCAGAAAAACATCTACTTCTGCTTCACTGACTACGCTAAAGCCTCTGACTGTGTAGATCACAACAAACTTGGGAAAATTCTTAAAGAGATGAGAATACCAGACCACCTCCTAAGAAACCCTGTATGCAGGTCAAGAAGCAACAGTTAGAACAGGACATGGAACAACGGACTGGTTCCAAACTGGGAAAGGAGTACGTCAAAGCTGTATATTGTCACCCTGCTTATTTAACTTATATGCAGAGTACATCATGCAAAATGCCATACTGGATGAAGCACAAGCTGCAATCAAGATTGCCGGAAGAAATATCAATAACCTCAGATATGCAGATGACACCACCTTAATGACAGAAAGCCAAAGAGGATCTAAAGAGCCTCTTGATAAAGGTGAAAAAGGAGAGTGAAAAAGCTGACTCAAAACTCAACATTCAAAAGATGAAAGATCATGGCATCCAGTCCCATCACTTCATGGCAAACAGATGGGGAAAAAGTGGAAATAATGACAGACTTTATTTTCTTGGGTTCCAAAAACACTGCGGACAGTGACTCCAGCCATGAAATTAAAAGTCGCTTGCTCCTTGGAAGAAAAGCTATGACAAACCTAGACAGCATATTAAAAAGCAGAGATATCACTTTGCTGACAAAGGTCCATCTAGTCAAAGCTATGATTTTTCCAGTAGTCATATGTGAGAGTTGGACCATAAAGAAGGCTGTGTACCAAGGAACTGATGCTTTTGAACTGTGGTGCTGGAGAAGACTCTTGAGAATCCTTTGGACAGCAAGGAGATCAAACCAGTCAATTCTACAGGAAATCAATCCTGAATATTCACTGAAAGGACTGATGTTGAAGCTGAAGCTCCAATACTCTGCCACTTGATGCGAAGAGCCAAGTCACTGGAAAAGACCCTGATGCTGGAAAAGATTGATGGCAGGAGAAGGTGTGACAAAGGATGAGATGGTTGGATGGCATTATCAACTCAATGGACACAAGTTTGAGCAAGCTTCGGGAGATGGTGAAGGACAGGGAAGCCTGGTGTGGTGTGGTCCATGGGGTCGCAAAGAGTCAGACACAACTGAGCGACTGAACAACACATAGCCTCCCGAGCCCCTACTCCCTCAGTCCCAGTCCTGGGGCTTTTTCTTTTCTACGGCCAGCCCCTCCTGCCAGGCCTGGCTTGGACCCTCACCGTCTCTCTCAGGGGCTCAGCACCCACCTCAGCCCCAGACCTTCAGGTCCAGGCCTGCCTTCCTCATGGCCACCAGAGGGTGCTCTCTGAATGTGACGGGTTAGCCCCAGAACTTCAAGGGCGCTGAATCAATCTAAACTCTCAGCAGGCAAGAGAGCCCCTCCCTCACAGCAGGGTCCTACGCAACCTCACCCCACTCCTCCCCACACTGAGGCCCCCAGGCCCACGTCCACCCTCCACACTTACCCCAGCCTGGTTCATTCTACACGCATGCAACTTTACAGTGCACCCTCACAGTGGTGCACACCCATGAAGACAGTCCACACGAGTGTGGAATCAGAGGACAGGGACATGGCAGGTGGCTGGCCAAGGTCCACAGGATCCCGAGGGCAGGCTTCAGAGAACGTCAGGACCCCATGGGGCTGGGGGCCAGGCAGGACCTGACAAGCTGCATGCCCAGCAGCTGCCCTTAAGCCCTAAAGCTGCAAGTCTGGCTCTGTCTGGGCGGCAGGCAGAGAGCAGGCACCATAGCAGGAGCTGGTGCAGGCCTGCGGGCCCTGCAGCCCAGAAGCCACCAAGGGAAGAGCCCCAGACTTGCCAGTGGACCCAGGGTGGGTCGAGCAGGGGACAGATCTGGGCGCAGGCAATGTGACACCCAGGATTAACTGCTACCCACACAGGCTCTGAGGTGCTGGGGCCTCTCAGACTCAGGAAGCCACAACTTTCCCCACATGCAGGGAGTGGGCTGAAAAGGTGTCTCTCAGCTTAGTTTCTGGGGGTCCCCAGCCTCCCTTCAATGAGCCCCAAACCAAGTGCCAATCCAAGGGGTCCCTGGTCCAGGGCCAGGGCTTCTGGAAGCCCCCAAGGCCCAGGGAAGAGGGAGGGGCAGGCCCCAGGCCCAGGCTCCACCCAGACTCCTGCCCTGAACCCACAGAGTACAACAGGGCTGGAGGGGACTGCCTGGATCTCCCAGAGACCTGGCCAGGCTGGTGGAGGGTCCCCAGATGCCTACCCCATTCTGGCTGTTGCAGTGCCGGGTGCTGATGATGGCTCCTGCTTCCTCGATCATCTTCAGGACGGTCCCTCCGTGCACATTGCCAGCCACATTGGCATCATCCGGCCGCATGATCCTGGGGGGAGAAGAGGCAGGATGAGCCTCTGGCAGGATGTCACTCATGAACAGCAGTGACCCCAGGAAGAAGGCCCTCCAAAGGCCTGATGGCTCCCAGAGAAGGAAAAGGACTCCCCAAGTGTCTGCTCACTGTGGGGTGCTGATCTGACCTGATGGCCAGACAAGGGGCTGCAGGGTCGTGCTTCCACCACGGGGGGAGGGCAGAGGGGGAACTTCCTGCCCTGGGGCCCAGGCACCCAGCCTGCCAGTGGGAGAAGGCCCCTGCCCTGGCAGGAAGGGATGGTGAGGACCTTCCGCAAAGGCTGTGACCGTGACATCGAGGCAGCCCGGCCGTGGCATGCCCAGCACGCCTCCCCCTCCTGGCTCCCAGGACCCACAATGACCCACAGAGCTGAATGAACAAGGACACAAGCTATGACCCCTTGGAGAAAGGACACATTCCCAGGACCACCATCTCCGTCAGGAGCCCCAGAGGAGCTGGCCTCATGTGGTCACGGATATTCTGAGAACTGGAAACATCACAGCATCCAGACCTTCACCAGCAAGACAAAACCTGATTGCTGCCTGCCCCCAGGGCTCCAAGAGAGGGCCCGAGGGGTGGGTTCCCTGGAGTTGAGAGCTGGGAATTCCCCAAGGTCAGGAGGGACTGAAATCACCCCATTTCCCCAAGAGGAAAAGCCATGTCTTTGCAGAGGGTAGCAGCAGGGAAGCCCTGTGAAATCCCTGGAGTCCCAGAAAGCCAGCCTGGTACAACCCCACAGAGCTTGACCCTCTCCCAGACACCTGTCTGTCTGGCTGATGAACTGTCTCCACGAGCCTCAGGCCTGGAGGCAGGTACCAGGCACTGAGCGAGTGTGCAGTTTCCGGGTGCCTGGCATCACCTGGGTCCACCCACCCTGCTTCAGTCTGCTGGCCAGCGTGACCCTAGAGGCTGGACCCCCAACTCTGGGCCATGAACTCCAATGTCCTCCCGGTCTGGCTCCTTCCAGACAGGGAGGCTAAGCCAGGCAGCCTCAGAGATGGTTCCTGACTCCCAGGCTTACTGGCTGGGTGACCTGAGCAAGCTGCCAAAACCCAGCCACCTCCACATTCTCATCCGAAAGGAGGAACAAAAGCACCACCGCACTTGACCGTGGGAAAGACTGAATCACAAGATGGCACAGATAAGGAGCCTAGCACACAGTCAGCGACATAAACACTTACCAGCACTTCTTCCTGCTTCTCTAAGAGCCAGCCAGAAACCGCAGGAGGGCATCGGCCAGTCACCGATGCCATTTTCTGGGGAGATCAAAGGCTGTTTGGACCTGTCACCCACCCCCAAAGTCACCCCTTCAGCCTGGGGGGCATTCAGGACCCCTACTTCTCACCTGCATCACTGGCTCAAGGGCAGCAGCCACGGTCGCCCAGGCAGTGACCAGGGGAACCCCCAGAGCACAGGAAAGGAGCCTCATTTGGCTTCTCAAATGCTCATTTTAAAAGATTTTTTAATCAACTCAAAATAGATTAAAAACTTGAACATAAGACCCAAAGCCAGAAAACTCCTAGGAGAAGACGTAGGCCATAGCGATGTTTTTTTCGATTTGACATCAAAAACAAAGGCTAAAGAAGGAAAAAAATACACAAGTGAGACTACATCAAACTAAAAGATTCCTACACAGCAAAGGAAGTCATCAGTAAAATGAAAACATGTGAGAAAGTATATGCAAATCATATATCCGATAAAGCATTAATATCCAAAATACACAAAGAACTCATAAAATTCAAGAACAAAACAAACAATCCAGTTAAAAAAATGGGCAGAGGAATGGAATGGACATTTTCCCAAACAAGACATACTGATGGCCAACAGGCCCATGAAAAGATACTCAACATCATTAACCACCTGCTTCCAAGTCACTCAGTTGTGTCCAACTCTGTGCGACCCCATGGACTGTAGCCCACCAGGCTCCTCTGTCCATGGGATTCTCAGGCAAGAATACTGGAGAGGGCTGCCATACCCTTCTCCAGGGGATCTTGTCGACCCATGGATCAAACCCGTGTCTCTTTACCAGCTGAGCTACCAGGAAAGCCCCCAGTGCAGGGGAGGTGAGTTGGATCCTTGGCCTGGGAAGATTTCACATGCCATCAGGGCAGCTAAGCCCATGTGCCACAACTACTGAAGCCTGAGGGCCCTGGAGCCTGCGCTCCACAACAAGAGAAGTCACCACAGTGAGAAGCCTGTGCACCGCAAGTAGAGAAAGCCTGCCACAGACCTCCTAAGGACTGAAGACCCAGTGCAGCCAAAAATAAAATAATTTAAAAAAAAAAAAAAAGGTCAGTATTGGGATTTCCCTGGTGGTCCAGTAGCTAAGACTCTTGAGTTCCCAGTGCAGGGGGCCTGAGTACTATCCCACATGCCACAACTAAAAGATTCCACATGTTGTAACTAAAGCCTGGTGAACAAATAAATACTAAAAAAAAAAAAAAAAAAGAACAAAAACAAGGTCAGTGTTTGCCAGGGGCTGGGGTGGGGGTGGGATAAGAAGACAGAGCAGAAGATTTTTAGGGCAGTGAAAATACTCTGTATGATTCTGGAACGATGGACAAATCACTACCCATTTGTCCATAGCATGTACAACTCCTAGAGTGAACTTCAATGTAAACTGTGGACTGTGGTGTGATACTGAGGTGTCACTGTGGGTTCATCGACTGCGACAGATGTACCTCTCTGCTGGGGGGTGCTGATAAAGGCTGAGGCTGTGTATATGGGGCAGAGGGTATGTGGGGAACCTCTGCACTTTCCTCTCTGTTTTGCTGTGAAACTACAGCTGCTTTGAGGACTTCCCTGGTGTCCAGGGGTTCGGACTGTTTCCACTGTAGGGAACTAGGATCCAGCAAAAATAAAAATTGCTCAAAAAGTAACCTCTAATAAAATAAGTTGTAAAAAAATATTTTTGATGTTTTGAGTTTTAAAAATTCCCGCATACTACTAAGCTCTTTTTTTTTTTTAGTTTAAGAGGTAGCCAATTCAAATAACAAAATGACCATATCAGACTCTTTCCTTTGCATTTGTTTTCAACTTAGTAAAGACCAGATGGTCCACCTCTACCCATAGGCCCAAGGGCCAGGCGGGAGTCCAGACAGGGGAGGGCTGAAACGATTCTACACCACGCCACCTTCCCCAGGAGCACCAGAGGTTGCGTCTGGGGAGCCTGACACCTCTGCCTGTTTGTAAAGTGAGGCTGTGCACGGCGGGCTGGCAGAGGGCCAGGGAGAGCAAACAGTGGGCCCCAAGGCCAAGGAGGAAGTGCTCACATCCGGGAGGGCCCAGGAGGGAGGGGCTGGGGAGGACCAGGGACAGAGCCTGGAGCCACCCTGACACTGGGGGTCCGTACGGACCCCACAGCACCAAATCCCACTAACTCCGGAGGGGCCCCTGGGCACTGAGCTACAGGCCCACCCCCAACCCCTCATCCTGGTCACCCTGGGTCCTGCCCAAGGACTGTCCTAGCGCTCCCAGGCCGGCTGGCACCCGCACGGTACAGACGCAAACCTCCCCAGGGACCCGATTCTGCCTCTGCTCTGCAGGTCTGCAAACAAGGAAGGCCAGAGCCCAGGCCCCACAGCCCCTCCCTGGGGCCCCAAATCAAATGCCTCCCCCAGGGCGTCACGGAGATTCCATCCCAGCCTCCACCCCACTGCCGCTGGGGCTGTGATCCTGCATCCGTCTGCCCGCTCTCTGTTCCCTTCTTCCTCCAAAGTGCTCTGGAGCTGCTGGGCAGGGTCTTCCTCAACTCACTTCCCCCTGAACCCCCACAATGCGAGTCACCTCCAGGCAGGCAGGAGTGCGAGCGGCCAGGGCAGCCAGGGGAACGTGGGGCCCCTCGGTGGAGCTCCTGCTTTCCCGTTTTTAGTAAAGACACGGATATGGAAAGTATTTTGCTCTCCTCTCCTCTATTAAAAAAGAAGCAAAGACAGCCCAGCGGAGCACACACAGTGCTACACGGCACTGCCCACTGGTCTCTGGTCAGGAAGGTGAAGGGGCGGTACTGGCGCTCACAGCTGGCCAGCCGCGGCCGTGCAGGGGTTTGAGTTGAGGATACCAAAGCTCTGAGTTTTCTAGAGAAGCTGGCAATCCAGAGTTTAATGTGAAATCTCCTGGAATTTGACTGGCAGCACCCGACTGAAAAGGCCTCCACGCAGGCCAGCTCAGGACGGCAGAGCAGGTGGTGGGCCTGAGCCCATCCTGGGGGGACTCTGTGGGCCCCATCTCTTTCCCACCTCTCTCTGCCCCTCTGCCCATGCCAACCTGCAACTCCCTCACTCCTTGAACCCCAGAAGCTCCAGGGAAAAGTGGACGGTTGGCCCAGGGAGCCCTTCCTGTGTCCCCATCCCCCATGTCCTCTCAGCTGGCCAGTGGCAGGGACACTGCCTCCAGTGACCAGGCCTACGCACCCCAAGATCCTCGCCACCATCTTCCTCTCTCCCTGCCCTCCCAGCAGTGGCATCTGGATGTCACTCTGTCACCCTGTCACTCACCACCCCTCCCCCTCCATTCTAGCCACTCCTGCCCCAAACCACAGGATGAGCTGGCCAGGGCTGGGCCCACGGCTAACCAAAGCTGACACGGCCTCCCCGGTGCTAACCTCTGAAGCAGACACTAAGCTGATGACAAGAGCAGGAAGGAAGCCACACAAACCTGAGTCACAATCACTTTCAGATGGTGCATACACCCACCTGGGCGCCGGGAGAACTTCAGAAGCAGTGACACCTGGATCAAGTCCTGGAGAGGGTGTAGGTGAGCCACGGACAGAGGGTGGGGCACGAGGGATGCTCCAAAGAAAGGTGGGATCTCAGAAGACCCCAGAGATGGGAGAGCTCGGCTGGTACAGAAACAGACAGCGGTCCCCCCAACAGACAAGGGGGGCTGCGGATGGAAGGGCTTCTCTACCTACGTCTTGCCTCCCAGCCCAAGCCCACCGTTCACCACGCTGCCCCAAGAGTTACTTCTCATAAGCA